ACGAAAAATAGAGGTTGACCCAAAATAAAAGAAAGGTCAATATGTGGAGAAAACAGCAGAAAGAGAAGGGGTGAATAAAAAGGAATAAAATAAAATATTTACTAATGAAAAAAAAAAAAGAACTCAAAAGTGAGAATGTTCCGGAGTAAATAAGACACCCCCAGTAACACAAATGAATTAGGCAAGACGCCTAAAATAAAGAACTCACAGTGAGTCAGAAATGTCTGTTGGAGTTCAGGCAGCTCGCTGTCTGACTCGCTGTTATCAAGCTCACTGACTTCGGACAAATTACGACTCAGTCGGGTTTCACTATACGGGAAGAGACTTGATTAAGTAGGATATACAATACTGGTTAAGCTCCCTATCTTTGGACAGAGTACGACTCAGCTTGAGCTCTGGCTCCGGACGGAAATTCGACTGAGAATGATAGATAATGCTTATCAAGGTCATTGTCTTCGAATAGAGTAAGATTCACTCGGGCCTCTTTATACGGACGGACACTCGGCTGAGAAGGATAGACAATGCAACGTCGCGCTTGTTCAGTATCTCCATGAGTGAATGCTTGGGAATATAAGGTGCTGTAGGCTTGTCTGTGCGGGTGGTGTAATAGATATCCACTCGGAATAAGAAGTATGTGTTCCAATTGTAGTTGGGTTTGATATATTCACTTACGCGCAAATAAACTTAGGGAAGGAATGACTTCACCTTTTCTCTCCCTATCTATGAGTTAATTAATTAGTCTCGTGTCTGTAAATCATTATTATCGCTTAAAAAATATGCTTACTATCTACAAATATTTAAATAACCTGAAAAAAGTTTGATAAGTTGTAAAAAACAAAATCACGATAAAACAAGATACAGTCATCTATTTAAGAAATATACATCCATTATTTATTTTTATTTTTTTTTATCTTGAGCACTTTGTAAACCAACATTTGCTGGTTTTATTTATTTTTATTCTCCTCATTTTTTCATCCTTTATCCAGTAACCCATTGCGTCTTAGTGGCATTATCACCTTAGTTGTTCGGAGGCGGGTGTAATGATTCAGGTTTTTTAATGTAACATTATTTCTTCGTATTCTTTAAAATTTCCTGATTACTCACATATTTTGACCATGGTATTCTTAGCATCCTTCTGTAGAAACATTTTTTCTGTTACATCAAGTCTCTTGTTCATCATTCACTACCATATAAAATATAAGATATTACATAGCAGTTCAGGCCTTTTTTTCACTGTTCTGTGGGGTACCTTCACATCTTTTAATATTTGCAGAATTTTTGAGAGCCATCTTTCAGTGTTCTTGTGTGCATTTGGATTCATATATTCTGACATAGTCCTGGGTATGACGATAAACCGCATCCGGCAGCAATGACACTGATCGTGAGGATGGTGGTTTTGAGCAACGTGGAACCTCTTCGCAATTGCTGTTGTTCTCAGTTCAACCCTAACCCAGGGTGGCAGCACCTGTTAGCATCCTAGATATGGGCAAATAGTGAAACCTTAGACAAAAACAAAACACTATGAAAGTATAAAATTCATTTTTATATAAAAGTATTTACTATCAATACATATTTATATAAAAAATACCAACAAAACATATTTTTTAGTAAAATGACTAACAATACTATTTTAAGCAAAATACCCAGCAATACATTTTATAGTAGAATTATCAACAACACATTTTATAGCAAAATGACCAACAATACATTTTATAGCAAAATGACCGACAATACATTTTATAGGAAGTTGACCAACAATACATTTTATAGTAGAATTAACAACACCACATTTGATAGCAAAATACGCAACAATATATTTTATAGGAAAATAATCTACAATACATTTTATAGCAAAATAACCAACAATACAATTTATAGCAAAATGACCAACAATACATTTTATAGTAGAATTAACAACACCACATTTGATTGCAAAACACGCAACAATATATTTTATAGGAAAATGACCAACAATATATTTTATAGGAAAATAATCAACAATACATTTTATAGCAAAATGACCAACAATACATTTTATAGGAAGTTGACCAACAATACATTTTATAGTAGAATTAACAACACCACATTTGATAGCAAAATACGCAAGAATATATTTTATAGGAAAATGATCTACAATACATTTTATAGCAAAATAACCAACAATACATTTTATAGCAAAATGACCAACAATACATTTTATAGTAGAATTAACAACACCACATTTGATAGCAAAATACGCAACAATATATTTTATAGGAAAATAATCTACAATACATTTTATAGCAAAATAACCAACAATACATTTTATAGCAAAATGACCAACAATACATTTTATAGTAGAATTAACAACACCACATTTGATAGCAAAATACGCAACAATATATTTTATAGCAAAATGACCAACAATATATTTTATAGGAAAATAATCAACAATACATTTTATAGCAAAATAACCAACAATGCATTTTATAGCAAAATGACCAACAATACATTTTATAGGAAGTTGACCAACAATATATTTTTTAGCAAAATGCCCAACAATATATTTTATAGCAAAATGACCAACAATACATTTTATAGCAGAATTATCAACAATACATTTTATCGCAAAATGACCAACAATACATTTTATAGGAAGTTGACAAAGAATACATTTTATAGCAAAATGACCAACAATACTTTTTATAGTAAAATATCCAACAATACATTTTATAGTAGAATGACCAACAATACATTTTATAGCAAAAAGACCAAAATTACATTATATCTGTAATTGAAGGCATACAACTGCTTTCAAAATATATTGTATTAAGGCCATAAAATTGGGCTCAATATATTTAGATTTCAATATTAGAAAACGATAGACGTTGATATGCAACTAAACAAAATCAAACAACATGAAAAAAGATCTTTTATGACATTAAGCCATATAATATCATATATTTCTTTAAAAAATCAAACTGTATACCAAAATATGAATTCAGCAAAACCACAACATGAAATATACATATCACCACCTCTAGTAATTATATTCATACAAACACGCTTTACGCACACAATCTTTGTATCATGTATTCAATTGCTAAATGTCATATATCATATTTTCATTACTTCAAAACGCCCCCACAAAATATATTTCGGCATTAAATAACCTATGAGGAATTGATATGCCGTTAAACAAACAAATCAACAAATATCCATACGTGAAGAGATCCTTTAGCATTCACTATCATATCAACGATAAGATATTGCAATTCGACAAATATTTCATTGTTTCCAAAAAACTGTTTCCACTTTCTAATACTCTGCTTAGTTTACGAAAATCACCTTTCACTGCCCTTGTTCCCATTTGCATTCACATCTTATCCATTCTTGCATTTGTTACATGGAAGGAAACAAGCATTATTGAACCTCTGATATTTCAAGTTACAACTCTGTACTCTAACCACTATTCTGCATATTTAAACTGTGTGACTTTTTCGTTTAATAAATGTCTATCTTTAAAATATTTTAGACTAAAAACGTAATAGTCAATCCTTTGATTTTATTGTTTAATATATTTTAGGTGACCTTTGAGCCCCTCACTGTAGTATAGTGTTTTTTTTTTCGGAAAAGACATCAGTCCACATGGCCGAATAGTTAAGACGTTAGATTTCTGCGCATTTTGTTCTTCTTCAAATCTTACCGTAGTTGGATAGTTAAGCCGGTGTCTTCAGGATAATGGCAGCCTGAGTAAACGACCCATGTTGGAAAGTGCCTGGAAGTTTTTTCCATGTTGGAAAGTGCCTGGAAGTTTTTTCATGTCTTGTGAGTGAAATAGTGTATACGAAACTATTTATTCTGCAGGAACGAAATTAAAAGATAACGTGGCTGGGGGTTTAAGCGTGGCGGCCATGTCCATTTCCCTTTTGCAGAAACTGCAACAAAGGAATGATAGGTATTGTTAAATATATCTATGTAAATAACGCGCAGTGTACGTATGTCCGTCCTTCCGTCCCTTTTTCGGTTTCGGTAAATCATGAACAACATGAAGTTACAGGTTGTAATTACTGTAGTTACAGACAATTAAAACTTAAATAAACGACTCATTTAAACTTAAATTTAAATATCGAAATAAGTGAAAGGTTTAAAAAGTAATTCTTTTTTAAAGGTTTAACTTTAATTTTGCATTTCATTTTAAAAGATATCGTCTATTTAAACCGTAACTAAAACTTAAATAGGGCACGGTACGTTATTCATATGTTTTTTTTTTGTTTTGTTTTGTTTTTTTCTTTTTCTTTTTTTTTTATAGCACGCGTATTATGAAGTATTCGAAATATTACATAGTTCGAGTTCCCTAATGTCTTTTAATACTGAATTTATGTGAAGGGGTCATGAAAAATGCTGATTTTAAAAGAAAAGAAAATTTGCCTTCAAAATAAATGTAAACAAGTAACGCAGATCGGGTTGCGTATACGAAGAAAGGTTATGCCAAATTAAGGTGTCGAAACAAGACAAAATAATTTTATTGTTTCTAAATTCTTATAATTTTTACGTACATAGGACGCTGAAGATAAAATGCCAAAGGCGCAAGATACCTCCTCAGGAAGTCGCTTAAAATCTGCCCTATTCTAGTTATAAAATATAGCTTGGATCTGTGGGTGTGTGGAAAAACAAAAATGCGCCTGAGAAGATCGTCTGCAACGGGGATTAGCTGGCCAAGATAATGTATTTCTTACTCTCTTAAAACTGACGGAAAGCGTCAAAAACAATTACTCTGGCGAAGTCGGGTCTGAGCGAGTGTGAAGTCCATGTGGCCATTTACCAGACTATGCTCACTTTTTTGTCACTGTTTAGACAAATATCTACACAGCCTGATTATTGCAATGGAATCGCTACTCATTTGATGTCGCAGTTTTGTCACTTTATGCGAGACAACAGGTCTGTCAAATATCAAGAGACTTGGCTTAGTAATGATGTGATTTGTAGAGACTAAAATTAACGTGCATACACATGTAAAATTAAAGAGAAAACGGAGGACAGAAAAAGACGAATGGAAAGTGAATGAAGGGAAAGATTGTAATAATGGAGAGAAAGAACGTAAAGCAGAAGAAATGAAATAAAGAAAGAAAGAAAGAAAGAAAGTGAAACTGAAGGTAAAAGGGAAAGAAAGAAAGAAAGTAAGAAAGAAAGAAAGAAAGAAAGAAAGAAAGAAAGAAAGAAAGAAAGAAAGAAAGAAAGAAAGAAAGTAAGGAGAATGAAATGGAGAAAAAAGGAAAGAAAGAAACAAAAAATCGAAATGAAACGAAATGGGAAAAGAAAGAAAGAAAAAAAAGAAAATCAAAAGAAAGAAGGAAGGAAAAAAGAAAGAAAGAAAAGAAAGAAAGAAAAAAGAAAGAAGAAAGGAAAGAAAAAAAAAGGAAAGAAAGAAAAAAACAAATCGGAAACCAACGGGAAAAGAAACAAAGAAAGAAAGAAAGGAGAATGAAATGGAGAAAAAAGGAAAGAAAGAAAGAAACAAAAAACAAATCGGAAACGAACGGGAAAAGAAAGAAAGAAAGAAAGAAAGAAAGAAAGAAAGAAAGAAAGAAAGATAAAGGAAATAATAATAAAAAATAAGAGAAACATGAAAGAAATGAACGTAAAATGAAAGAAAAAAGAACTAATTTCAGAGATGAGTAAAGAAAGAAAGAAGAAAGCTATGAATGAAGAGAAAGTAAAAAAAAGAAAGAAAGAAAAAGGACAGAAAGAAGAAATTTAGAAATAAAGGCGAAATGAATAAAGAACAAAGGAAAAGTAAAAGAAAAAAAATTAAAAAAGGAAATGAATCTCCAATGGAAGGAAGAAAAAAGTCAGTGAATAGGAAAAAAGAAACAAACAAATATGAGAATGAATGAAAGTGGAAGGAATATAGAATGAAGGCAGAATGAAGAAAGCAGGAAATAAAAATGAAGGAAAGAAAGGTAGAATGAAAGAAAGAAAGAAGTAAGTAAATAAGAAAGAAAGAAAGAAAGAAAGAAAGAAAGAAAGAAAGAAAGAAAGAAAGAAAGAAAGAAAGAAAGAAATACAGACAAGAATGGAAGAAGAAACGACGAAAGAAAGAAGAGAGAGAAAAGTTAGAATGAATGCAGAAAGAAAGAAAGAAAGAAAGAAAGAAAGAAGGAGAAAGTTAAAATGAATCTAAAAAGGAAAGAAAGAAAGGTAAAATGAATGCAAAAAGAAAGAAAGAAAGAAAGAATGAGAGAAAGTTAAAATGAATGCAGGCAGAAAGAAAGAAATATAGATAGAAAGTCAGGATGAAGGCAGAAAGAAAGTAAGAAAGAAAGAGAGTTAGGATTAAAGCAGAAAGAAAGAAAGAAAGAAAGAAAGAAAGAAAGAAAGAGAAAGTTTAAATGAAACTAAAAAAGAAAGAAAGAAAAATAAAATGAATGCAAAAAGAAAGAAAGAAAGAAAGAAATAAAGAAAGACAGCCAGATCAGTTAGGACTCTAATCGCGATTGTATAAGTGATAACTACTGATTTTCAATTGACTTTTCTTATGGCATTTTTGAAGCAAACGTTCTTAATTGGTAATCGGCAAATCTCAAAGGCTACCAGTCTTTTAAATGTTGGGTGTGAACACTTTTTTATCTAGCAAAAACTTTTCCTTTAATTTATCACCTTCATTTTCCAACACCTTCAAATGTCATGACAATAACAAGGAGAGTATAGTGAAACTTTTTCATTTTCTTTGAAACACCTGAGACTTTGTGTAACTAAAAGGTAAAACCAAGTTGGAGAATCGTTGTTGCCGTAAGGATAGCAAGTCTCTCTGCAGTTAAAATCGTTTCCAAGATTTTAACGATCGATAACGATTTTTTCTTTTTTTTTTTTAGAAAATAATGTTATGTTAGGTTTCCTTTACAAATCTCTAGTTACATGTCGCTTCATGTTTATTAATTTTCTTTTTATAAATATTTTTTTTTCTGATAAAGTTATTTTTTACACTATTTACATTCTTTGGACTGTTGTCCTCATCTTTTTTTTTTTTTTTTTTCATATTCACGACGTTTCCGTCGTTGTACGATCCAGCCTTCTTCAGGTGACTGGAATGTCGAAATGAACACTTTATTTCGTCCACCGGAGTGGGTGGTTCTAGTTCCACGTGCCATTCCTCTTCCGGATGTCTCTGTTATCTCCCTTTAACTCAATAAGTTTTTTTTTCTTCACCACTTCAGTAGCCTCACAATCTTTTAGGTCAAGTCAGTGGATCCAACGCTTTTTTCCACTGCGCAGTGTGAGTTCAACATGAATTTAAACGTCTGAATAGTCACACATCGAGTGATATTGTAGTGTATTTCTAGAGTAAAATACTGATTAATGAAATAGAGGGAGAATTAAGATCAGATGTAATGAATAAATTTATTTCAGACAATAAATACCTTGAAAATGAAAGATAAACTAATATATATATATATATATATATATATATATATATATATATATATATATATATATATATATATATTGTGCCCTCGTGCCTTTCTGTCGCTGACTAAAAATATAGTTACTTCGCCAGCCTCTCTGTCACTCAATACTGTCACGTACCCGGCAGTAGTGTAAGGTAGTTTCCAAAGGGTGGGGAAAGAAAAACTACAAACAGTAACTATTGTAGTTTATTTATAAAATGGAATAATAATCTGATAAAGAGACTAGGACATTCAGGAAAACGGTTGTAGTGGTAATCAACGTGACAAAGCGAAGGAAACGCGGTGTATCTGTCAGTGGAAACTGCAAATTATTCCAAAATGTTGACAACACGCACTTCTACGTCTGGTTCAGACTGATTTTCGTACATTTTCATTAGTCTTGTTGTTGTTATTATTATTAATATTATTATAACGCTTCAAGAAAGAGTCGATTTTCAGAAAACTAATATGAAAGTCATAGTCTTTGATAATGTTTAATAATATTTCGACAGTATGTCTGTGTTGTTTAAGTTAAGAAAGAAAATGCATACACTTATAAAAAGAAGTCTGTGTATGAGCGTCACTTGTCTTGAGAAAAAACGGTTGTACTGGTAATCAACACGACAAAGGGAATGAAACACGGTGTTTCTGTCAATAAGAATTGTAAATTACCCTAAAATGTTGACTTCATGACCTTCTATGTTCAGGGTGATTTCCATTATTATTATTATTATTATTATTATTATTATTATTATTATTATTATTATTATACAGATACACAATCTTAAAATATATATGGCGCTTTCGTACCTCTCATTCCTTTCTTAAATTTCTGAAGCCAACCTTCTGTTTATTGACACGCGCCTTTAATGTTAAGTTCTTCATGGTATATACCAGCTTGTTTCATGACCAACAAACCAGTTAGTGGCATACGTTCACGTGTTCGTTGTTGAATCTATTCAATTAGTACATGGTCAAGATCTTTATTTTTTGCCGTATGTCGTGTTTTCTTATTGTTCATTAGTCTATGGTCATCACTTTCAGTATAGAATTTAAGTAACTTGTCTTTCTGTTTCTTTAAATCATAGACAATGGCGGTTTTGATACCATATTTTTTAGTCAGATGCTGCACGGAAACATCGTGATCAAGCTTCTACAAAAGCTTTACGTTGTGTATTATTGATAACGAGAGTTGCTTCTTTTTCTTTTTTTTTCTTACTGTTACCCACAAGGATATCTGCAGCTCCTTTTAACATTTTCAATGTATAAAAATTACAAAGTTAACGAAAAGAAAAAAATATATAGGCGAACAGCACATTCAAGTCTTACCCAATATGAGCGCTTGACGACAACTGATGTTTGGCGGGCTCGGGTAGCTCAGCCAGGCTGGTGGAGTGGTGGGAGAAACCAGAGAAGTCAGACCGATCATAACACGTATTGCCACGCCATACCTAAATGGTGAGGGTCAAGTAGGTAAGCTTTTCGCACGCCAAACTCCACGGCAAAAAATATTCGGTTTTCAGAGGTTTTCCGTTTTCAGATATTTTCGGTTTTCAGATATTTTCGGTTTTCAGATGTTCGGATAATGGATGTCAAAGTAAAGTAATTGTAATCTTGTATTTTTATTATTAACAAATAAAGCAACACCACCAGTTATTAAACTTTTGACTAATTTTTATTCTATCTTAATTTCAATCGCTTTTCATAGCAACTTCATTTTTACTACGTCAAGTTTGCTCATGGAATTGAAAATATTCAAAATAAATTTAGATTAGGCAATCTCGAAGAAATATTTATAATTCCATATGCAATATATCGTGTGGATCACAGCTTCCAATATGCAGGGTGCGATGGATAAATTGTCGTCTAATGATGTAAAAATGAAAGTAACACTGACATCTCATTTTTAACAGATATATTTCCCAAAATTAGAGAAAAATATATTTAAATACTAGAGAGTAACTTTATTGCCATTGATTTCAATCACGGTTTCCAGACGACTTTGGAATCTCCTGCAAATCTTCTGGGCGATATCCCTGTTTAAGTTGGTGAATGCTGCCATAATCCTTGCCTTCAGTTCATCATTGGTGTAACAAGGAGTTTTGTTGGTCTCTCACTACACTGCGCCCCATATAAAATAATAAAGAAGGCTGGCAGTCTAGGGAGTTAGGTGGCTATATGTAACGGTTGATATAGTCACGGAAATTGTCTTACAGCCATGACTGGGTTCTCTTTCTTGTGTTGGATGGTGCAGAGTGATGTGCACTCACAAAGTGTTTCCCAGCAACTACCTTCTTGACTCAGGGCAACAGTACTTCCTTAATGTTTATGCCTCCGTGTTGAGCCTGAGGCTTTCACCAACAAAATCGGGAATGCGTTTCTTACCAGAATTATTAGGGTGAGTTTTCAGAGCTGCTGTACCATCGTAATCACCATTAGACTCATCCAGCTCTTTCCAAATACACTAAACTGTCCTCAGATTGACTCCCAGTGACTCTAAAATTTTTTATTGGTGGGTCCAGTGCGAATGCCAAGCAGTAAAACATGTCGCTTCCAAATTTCTGGCGGAGTGAATTGCGTCATGGTGTACTTTTTTTTCTCACAGACGGTGCCCAACTGACCCCACTATACTGTGCTACTGACAAAATCGAATAAATAAATAAATAAAACGCGCATGCACGTAATTAAAAACGTAATAAATGACGTCAATTTACCCACAGAACACTGCATGACCTTTTTTTAAAAATATTGAAACATTAGTACGACGTGTTGTAAATGTCTTTGCCCGAAATCAATGTTCTGTTATAGCAGTGTTTCCAAACCCGTGCAACCGGGCACGTTAATGCGCCCTGAAAGTTAGCCAGGTGCGCGCCAACAGAAGAGCAATTTATGAATCGTTTTTATATTTAAAAAAAAAAAAAATTTTAGAAGATTCCACGTCTAAGTCACGTCTTTACCATTTGCTATTTGAAACTTGATTCTAAATTTCTTAATTTATAAGAGGGAGGGGATAATCTTTTTCCTTTTTCATTCAAAAGATTTAAATCAGTCAATATCGGCCTCCCCGAAAAATTGCAGTTTATTCAAATATCTCTTTAAATGAAAATTTTTAAAAACGCTTAAAAGTAGAATGCAATGTATTTAAGATAAATATTAATTCAGGAAAATTCTTTATTATGCCTAATTTTCCTTATTAAAATTTAAAGTGCTCACCGAGTTTTAGTTATTCTACAAGTACGCCCTGCAGTAAAGAGGTTGAGACAGGCCTTAATATAGTAGCGTCCGGTCAACGACTTCATTAACAAGTGTGTTATTTAATTATAAATTTATTGAGAGTTCACTATTAGGTCGGTTAGGTTCTTGAGCCTTAAGCCAAATTATATGAGCTGATATCTTAGTTATGAATGGTACCGCGGTAGAATTATGTGTTTATAACCTCGCTGGAGTAAAGGAAACAAATAGAATCGAGATACGTCATTGTGTGTCGTTCTCAAAACTAAATGACATCTTATCACTGTACTTATATCGTTGTGTGTTTGTACGTTGTACAATAGTAGCCGAAACAAAGTGGAAAATTTATAAACGACGCTTTTCGTCAGAGCGTATGCGCTCCTTGCCTTTTTCAGGTTAGAATAAAAGAAAGAGAAAACTGTATGTAAAGTAAATGCTTTATGATCTCTGACGATACGCAGTAATCATAAATTAAATTAAATTAGATAACTTATCAGTTGCAATATCTAGGCTTGACTGAATGTATATCCGCCACTTTCTATCGGTGTTGCTGGATCAGTCTACCGAAACTAAACATTGCTTATTTTTATTTTACCGTAATTACCCATGTCAAATACACATTATTTTATTCTAAAAAAAATAATAAGCAAAATTAGGGGTGCGTATTATACACAGCTACAAAAAAAATCTTTATAAATATGCCGTATCATAGGTCGATTTCAGTTGCAAAATGACTACTTACCCCAAACATACGAAAATTTGACACTAATATTGGGCGATTGCGACCCCACAATGATGTCAAATACAATCATATGTATCTAACAATACTTACAAATGTTAAATAAAATAAGAATTATCATAAAATTAAATTAGAATGATATTATTCTATGTTTAAAAACATTTTTAAATACGAGTAGGAAACGCTGACCGTAATGAAATTGAGGGGTACAATTTATAGGGTGCGTGTTATGCATGAGTAAAATCATCTTATATATATATATATATATATATATATATATATATATATATATATATATATATATATATATATTAGGATAAGTATTTTCTTAACGGAAGAGGACATAAAGTTTTGCTTGATAATGTGTGAACATTTCTTTACATCTCCACATATGTTAGCGATACATCAATAACTATTAATTTTAAGATATTTGCCGACAAGATAAAAGCGATATAAGACCATTGATCTCATTTTTTTGAACAAAATTCATTTCATTTTTTCTTGTTCAATTTTACTCTGAATTTTTGCTAATTTATATATATATATATATATATATATATATATATATATATATATATATATATATATATATATATATGTATATATAAATAAAAAAAAAGAACAGTAAGTTATATAATCCGGTGTTCTTGTAATTTTTTTATTTTTACAAAACAGTGCTCAATGTAAATATACAGACCATAAATATTATAAATTAACTGATTTAAAATATGATTCTTCGCTACAGAGTAATAATCATGTTTCAAAAATGGAAGATAAAAACTTTAAATTTAATTATATAATTAAATTAAAATCATTAGTTCCGTTACATCTTCAAGCAAATATTAGAATCAAATAATCGCTTGAAGATGAATCGAACGAATGCTTTTAATTTAATTATATAATTAAATTTAAAGTTTTTGGCTTCCATTTTTGAAACATTGTTATTACTGTGTAGCGAAAACCATATTCTAAATCAGTTAATTTATAATATATATATATATATATATATATATATATATATATATATATATATATATATATATATATACGCACACAATCACACACTGTCCTGTATTCAATACATAGCAGTTCAGCACTCTTTTGTTTATTTCTGTTGTTTCATGTCTCTCCTTTATCTCTGAGGAAATTGGCCAGCATTTCGGTGTCATATTTTGCGTCATCTATTAAAAATCTAGCTAGATATCTAAATTTCTGTAATTTTCTTTCATGATATCATATCTTTAGTTTGTAACTCGCTTCACCACTTGCTGACAACAATACAGTCTATCTTTTAATAATTAACATTTCTTTGTTTTATATCGTCTGTTCTACACTACCCTCTATAGGTGTTTTTCTAAGTTTCTTTCTGCATTGATCATCAATACTGTGTCATCGGCATATCTTATCCTGTTAAGATTTTAGCCACCAATTATAAATCCTCGTAGGATTTTTAGTTCTTTTAGAATTGCAATGTTTAAAAGTATGGTATTTTTTTTCTTTTTCTAGGTGGCATGTCCCATAAAGACATTGTTAGTTAGTTCTTAGGAAGATCTTAATAAAAATCCGTTATTAATTAGCAACAATCCCGATAACTGAACGGTAAATATAGTTATTAATATTTTAGAAGCTACCGAAGTATAGCAAAATGAAGCTAAACATTTGTCAATATATCGAAAATGAGTTATTATGATTACTTGCATTATTTACATTATCAGGACTGTTATCCTCATCTTCATTGCCATATTCACAACGTCTCGGTCGTTGTACGCCTAAGCCTTCAATATCTGTCTATATCTCTCAGATGAGGTATTATGATTACTTGCATTATTTACATTATTCGGACTGTTATCCTCATCTTCATTGCCATATTCACAACGTCTCGGCCGTTGAACGCTTCAGCGTTCAATATCTGTCTATATCTCTGAGATGATGTATCATGATTATTTGCATTATTTACATTATTCCGACTGTTATCCTCATCTTCATTGCCATATTCACAATGTTTCGGCCGTTGTACGCCACGGCCTTCAATATCTGTCTATATCTCTGAGATGATGTATCATGATTATTTGCATTATTTACATTATTCGGATTGTTAGCCTCATCTTGATCGCCATATTCACAACATTTCTGCAATTGTACGATCTGGCCTTCTTCAGGTGACTGGAATTTCGAACCGAATCCTTTATTTCGTCCACCAGGGTAGATTGTTCGAGTTCCACGTGTCATGCCTCTCTCAGATGTCTCAATTATTTCCCTTTAACTCAACTCTCCAAGTTTTGGCTCATCACTGCTGTGGCCTGGTACGGAACTTTTGGGGTCTAGTCACTGGATCTAACCAACGCCATTATCCACCTGACCATGTGTCCTTGAAGACGTGGAACTACAACAATCTACCACGTTGAACGAAATAAAGGGTTCGCTTCAAAATTTCAATTACCTGAAAAGGCCGCAGCGGA